GTAAAGTAGTGGGAATGGAAACCAACTTAGGGTTTATTGGGAAACAAATATTGTATGAAGATATGGAGAAGTTTGGCTGTAAGAAGAGAGAGGAGAGGTACCTGGAGTGGTTATGGAGCCTGTGGAGGATTTGGGGTTTTGGTTATTTTTTGCGTGGTATAGAATGTTTCAACACTCCAGTAGTGAGGAGAAGATAGGAAACATGGGATTTCCCTGGGAATATGCATAAACATCAGTGAACATGAACATTTTCTACGACTAAGCTGAGCAGAATATCTTACCCTAGACAAAGCCCAAGAGAAAAAATAAGAAATAAATTCCTTAAGTATTTTGCCAGGGAATGAGAGTCCTGAAAAAATTACTAGAGGACCTGCTACTTTTCAAAGAATATTTTCCTTAAAACATTTTATGATTTTAGTCACATTTGAACTTTTCAGGAAAAGTTGTTGCTGGAACTCATAAAGCACTAGTCAGTGGTAAATTTAGATGTGCTCTCAATCTCTGAGTAATTGCAGTATAAGCCATCATCCTGATTGTTCGTACTCCCTCTTGGATTTTTGTTTTGTTTTGTTTTTGGTTCATGGGGTCAACTTAAAATCCAAATTTATATTTCTTCTCATCAAAATTGCTATATATGCCCACTAGTCCAATGAAAACACTTTAAAAATTACGTTTAAGAGAACCTGTGGTTGTAGACTGTAGGAGTTGAAGGCAGTATTAAGTCAAAGGAATTTTCATATCCATAAAAGATGGTTTGCTAAAGCCCTGCTAGTATTGCCACAAGAAAGAAAGGAACATGTTATACCACATCCGTTTTATATTTAGATATTAAAATCCCTTCTTGTTCATCCCTTTAAATCTCTCACCCACCATATATTAAGGGTTGTCACATTCTGTGTCATTATCTTTCCTTTTTTGCTTTCACTATCATGACCCCTGTTCAGGCTTCCACTACCTCTCACCTGACTTGATACTATGTCCTGAATTGTTCTCTAATACAGAAAACATTCTGAGTAGTGTGTGCATGATAGGGTGCTTAGTGTTGTTTACCATGTGAGCCCTACTTCTCTGGGTGACTTAAAATCTTTGCCAAAGTCCTCCAACAAATCTGCTGTAAGACATCATCTCTTCAGATTAATTATTTGCACAACAATGTTAGGATGTACCACAGTGGCATGTGTTTGTTGTCTATGTATTTTTTTAACTTAACTGAGGAAAACCAGATCTGCTGTTGAAGGAGCTCCTGGCTGGAAATTTCAGGCATGAGAAATTGCTGCAGCAAAAGTTAAGAGATGTGACTAACATTTCAAGTTATATCAAGAAGAAGGTAGTCATCATTCAATCAAATAATTCGTTCTCTGGAAAATAACCTGAATTATTGATCCTTGATATTGCTAGGATTACTATATCTAAGACTATATTTTTTATTTATGCAATTTACAAAGCTCAACTTTACATTTTTTATATATGCAATTTACAAAGCTCAAATTTAAGAATTGCTACCCTCTATTTACTGACACTGTTGGTGAGGTTATGTTCACTGTTCTTTCTATTGATCTATAACAAATCACATGAACTTTGTGCTTTAAACAAACAAAAATTCCCTCTCTGTGAGTTAGCTGGGCTGAGATGAGTGGTTCTTCTGCTCCATATGGTGTTGACTGAGGCTGCTCATGCAGCTGCTTACATTTAGAAGCTCATCTGGGCTGGGTAATCTGCCTCACTAATATGTCCAGGACTTTGGTGCTGATTATCAGGTGGAGTGCTTCATTATTTCTCCATTTGGCTTCTCTCTCTAAATAGTTTCTCATTATTCATTAAGAAGTTCAAACTTCTTACAAAATAGAAGCCATTCAAATGAGAAAAAGGAAAAGCCATCTGGTCTCTTAAGGTCTATGTCCAGAAGTAGCACAGAGTCACTTTTGCTGCATTGTATTGATCAAGGCCAGCCCAGATGCAAGGGGAGAGAGGAGAGTCTCCATCTCTTGAAAGAAGTGTCGTGTACGAACAGGCATAAGAGACACAAAGTTGGTGACCTTCTTTGTAGATCGTCTACTACATCTACTATTAGAACTTAAGCTTATAAAACTCCAGTTAATTCCTCTTCCACTAGGCTTGAATATTTTAGTGACTTAATGAAGAGTATGAGACCAAATTCTACTTGAAAATGGGTTATCTATCATGACTCAATAAAGAGAAAATTTGCTATATATCCTTTGACTTGACAAGAGATGCTCAGCCATCATGAGATTGTCACTGAAGTCCTCTCAATGCCAACCCATTTGTTAAGAGCATGAAACCTTTCTTTGTTGTGGTAGGCAATAAGTAAAGCATTGTTTTATAAGCCTTTTGAATTGAGTAGAATTTTTTTACAGTAAGACATAGCACCAACAAATATAAATATTCTCTTATCTTTAAAGGATAGTCAACTGGAAAATTCTATGAGTCTGTTATTCTAAAACATTGTATAAATATTACTCAGGATTGCTTTCCAGATTCAAGTTCAGATATTTTAGGTAATGCCTTTTTTTCCCTGCCTACTTTTAGTTTGACTTCAAACAATTGGAAATCTTTTAAAACAGAGAGTTATCTTATGCAATAAAGAATGGACATTGTGTCAATATCTCCTGTAAGGAAGAAAAACAGATTAGATTAGTTGTCTATGTAATTTTCTCATGACTGGGTTTTAGCAATTTTTTTCTTTCTTTTTTTTCTTTCCGAATATTACAAGACTTAGCCAAGTCTGTAACAATGAAGGAAAATGTTTGAGTGTGAGAACTTCTATCAGCACTTGAGATTTTAAAACCGTCTGAGAAGTTAAGATAGATTTTGAAAGATATAAGGAGTAAATACTTTCACAATTAACTCAGTGGGATTTGGGTGATTACAAAAGATAATTTTGTGTGGGGAGGAAGTGGATTCCTCCTGAACCTCTTCCCTACACCATATAAAAAGCATGAAATAATTCAGCTCCTGCAGACAAGGTGGTTACAAATTATCGAAAATCTACTCTGAACCAACTGCTGTACTGAGTGCTTTATGTACATGACCTCCTGGTAATTCATGGGCTATTCCTCCATTTTACAGATAAGGAAATTAAGGCTCAGTGAGGTCAATTGTCATGCCTGAGTACCTTTTAGCAAGAGTCAAAGCTCAGATTTGGCTTATGTGTTCCTAGCTCTAAATCCAGTGCTGCTTACATTGTGCTATACTGACCTTCATGAATTAAAATCATGGTAATAAGGTTTCCTCCAAGTATCTCTTATTTCCAGTCTCACTTCTCAGTCTTTTAGATTCTCTCAGTTCAAATTTTTGTTCAGGCTCCTTTTCTTTGCTCTTCCTCTTTACGCTTAGGTTCAAAGGAGACTCTCAAACAGAGCCAAGTAGAGGAAAATGTAGATGGTATACATGGAAGAACATGCTTTTTCCAATTTTCTGATTTCTGGGATGGGTCTTGTGTTTCTTCCTCAAAACTTTTGTCTTTAGCATTGTGAAATTTGGAGCTTGAGGGTGCTAGTGATTTCAGCATTTGATGTGTAGCCTACGTCTTTAATGCATTTTTCATATAAGAACCTCAGAATGACTGAAGGAGCAACCTAAACATGTAACTCAGAAGACCAAGTGCCAAGTTCTTTGAACATTGCTGGGAAATTGCTGATAAGGATTTTCAAACAGTTTTCATGCCAAATAACTAAGGCTTCAGAGATTCCTCACCAAAGAAGAAGCTGCAACAGGCATCAAGGTCCAATGGAAAGCAGCCTAAGGTTATTTCACTGGTCACTAATCATACAAGGTTGCTTCCTTCTTGTTAAGTTCTTCCGAAACAAAGTAAGTTTGCAACAACATGGATGGACCATAAATTTAGATTTATTACAATCACACCCACAGTAATTCCTCCTAGTCAACCTTCACCATACACACCTAATGACTTTTTCTCTCTGGGTGTTGTGAATGCTTCAATTTTTCAGAAAGGTACAAAATAATATGGGGCCTCTGACAACATTGCTTCAGTTAGGTCTTGATAATGGACCTTCCGCCTCTGTGATAACGTCTGAACCTAGCATCTCTGAAGGGGAGAATGGGAATAAAAAGTAAAACATTGACTACCACGATGGCTTCAAGAAAAAGCCATATCTGAAATGATATAAAATTGTTTCTGAAGGATCAAGTGAAACTACCATTCAACTACAGCATTTGTAAGCACAAATGGTTTGTATTTAATAGACATTATATATTTCACATAACTATAGGTATTGGTTTCATCTAATAACTCAAAGTGTGTTTTCCCATGAAAATTTACTAGGTTTCTTTCTGCACTCCTTACAGGGATACTAGCTGACTGCTGTAAACCTAAAGGTCTTTTCTAACCAAAAGTTTATATGAAGTTAGGGAGAGTATGTTTCTGCATAAATCCAATACCAGTACTGCTGGGAAATCAGGACTGTGTCTTAAATCCAGACTCAAGGACATACAACTGAGGGTGGATGAAACGATTGTATTTAGCATACCTGGACCAATGAAAATATTGGTTCTTGTCCTAAATCCACATAGTCATAATGTGCTGTTTGTAGTCCTGACCCTGCCCTGGAACCAGTGTTCCCTGGTTGCTAGCTCCTCTTCTCAAAGTCAAGCTTCCTGTCCTGTTGGCCCCAAATCCTGGTAATTTCATGATAATTCCCTCCAATCACTTTTGCTCCTAGGCCCCACATGTGCCAGAGTGACCCCTTCCTGGATGCTAGCATTGATATATTCAATAAGCAACACTGTCTGACTTGAGAAGGCAGAATCTTTATTGAATCCTGCAGAAAACAGGAGTGAATCACACTCACTGCTTCATATGTTGTTATGTATTAGGTAGATTGGTATAAAAGTAATCGTGGTTTTTGCCATTAAAAGTTTTATTGCACCAACCTCATATTTTCCTCTAATAATAAAGATAATGGTTATGCATTGTTTTTATAATATGTGTTCTAGTTTTCATTATATCTTGTTTTGATTTTGATCTTACAGATTGCTGTCATTATTCCCACTTCACAGATGGGGAGGTAAAAACCCAGAGCTTAATAGCATGTCCAAGATCACGTAACTAGTAAGTACAAGACCTGAACCCAATTCCTCTGACTGAAACCCTTGTGTTTTTCTCCCTGAGAAAAGCAATGTAATGAGAAAATCATTTCTAAGGAATATGTCCATAGTCACCAATTATCAATTTAACTGAAACTTCTATAAAGTGGTTGAACACTAACTAGTAACATTTTATAGTGGTCTTTATAAATAATTCTTTTAACTGATAATAAAAATAAATCTATGAAAGATTTCAGAAAGATGAAGCAAGCTGTGGGAAGACCAATTTCAATGTTGGCACAAAAACTGAAACACTTGCTCAAGCTTTTGCTCAACTGGTGTTTAAGCAAATTGTATTAAATATCCATGTTTGATTCAGTAGTGATTTTTGAAACTTTTTCTATTCTTATATAAAAGTCTTAGCTCTGCACTATTATAATATATCAAAGTTGGTCACCAAATGCATATATAGTGAGTACAGCTGTAGAATTTAATAAAACCAAAGGTTTGAGCTAACAAATGAAAAATTATATATTATTGGAAACTTGTGCTCAAAGTTGAAACTTGAAGGAAATATTTTAGCACTATCACAATATTACATTGCAACCATTATTTAATTTATCTCCTCTGAAATGACTTAAGGGAAGTGCTCACAAAGCCCTATTTACTTCATCCAGGAAGGAAGGCAGTGGTCAGAGAGTGAATGAAGTCATGGAAAGCTGACAATGCCTCTATTGTAAGAGCACCTCAGAGTATTGTTTGACATTGACCAAGTAAGGAGTAAGTGTTGGGAAGTTTTAATTTCATCTCAATAAGAGGGCAGGGTCAGAGGAATAATATAAAACTGGCCTTTACTTAAATTCTTTTTTTTTTTCTTTAATTAAAAAGCATCAAGTTGAATGCACCTGGAAAAAAAGAATGTCTTTTAGTAGTTACCAAGATTTTGAAAGACAGTTTTACATTTTTAGAAAAGTTTCATAAGTAAATAGCATATTTTTGGCCTATAAGTAGATACTATATACATTTTCAGTAATGCTGTGTATCATATACATGGATGTATAATTTACATATTCACCATTCAATTTTTCCAAAAGAAACTTCAAGAATCCCTAAGCAACCTGTGCGTTGCAATTGTCACTTTGAACTTTAGAACAAAGGAGAGACTGTAAAACCAGTTTATAAAAAGTATTATGAGATACCACAACTGGCATTTTTATGACCTTATTAAACTACATTCAAGTGGCATAAATTATATGTAATGAAAGTGAAAAGGATCTCTGACCCGATTTTAATATTGGGTGCATGCTTATTAGTTTGAGATTTTTCTGAATAGAAACCTTTTTTCAAACTTCAGCAGTTGATATTATGTGGAAGTCATAAATGTCAGATTACATTAAACTATTTTGGTTCATAGAATAGAACAGCCATTAAGTTACTAGAGAGTAATGAGTAGGTCTTCTCACAAAGTAAAGCCAAAGGTGTTAATTTAGATTTGAAACATTCCACCTCATTATAAAAGCCAAATTAATTTGCCATGTGTAGAAGCAGCAAAAACCAATATTTAAAATGTGAAAGGCCTCCTTTTTGTAGAAGAGTGATAGAAAAGGGCATTACAAAGTTTCTATTCCTAAAGAGTGGGCAAACTGGTCCCTCTGAGGTTAATTATGATTAAGTCTTCAGGAGCCTCTTACTGGAAATTTCTATTCAAGAAGTTGAATTGATAGAATTAGTTAAATATTAAAAATAAAAGGAAGTCTGGCCATTTAGCAATTCCAAGTTTAAAAATCTATAAACTTAAACATGTGTAAAGTTGATTTATCTCCTCCAATTTTTATAACTTAATGAAGAATAAATAAATAATCGTATTTTGTTTAGCATTAATTACAATTTTTGAAAAAAGAGGGAAAAAAACACACTAATTTGGAATAATATAGAACAAAGTATAGAGCATCCTGACTTTCAAGTGTCTATTTATTAAAAGCCAGACCAAATGAAGAATATTCAAAAACCCAAATAAATAAACATATTTCATAAGAACCCTAGAAACAACAGCCTTTTTAAACCTAGACAACAAATTGAACAAAAATGGTACAGTGATAAGAATAATAATGTTGGATTGATTTATCATTTTTAAACCGTGAAAAAAACAGAAATGCAAAAGCCAATTAATGAATTAATGAAAGAAAAATTCTAACTTATAGTAGTAACCTTGTCCAGAAATAGACAAAAATACCGATCATGGTGTCTACAGAATCAACTATCCACAGTGGTCACATGAAGGACCATGAAATAAAGTTGCTCTGTTCAGTATAGCCAGCTACTGAAGTATTACTAAAGACCCCACAAAGATTGCTAGGAACTCCTCTGCGTTCTCTAGCAAGAAAGGCAGGTGGTGGGTAGTGATATAACTTCCCAGAAGACGTCAAGAAGTGACATCATGCAAAATCATTTAAATTTAGAGTAAAAATGCTTTCTAGCTCAGGAAGTGTTTTTATATCCTGACAGCAACCACACTAGATGACTATTTGTATATTTTTTCCATATTAGGACACAGGTTCAGAGAAGTTAGATCACTTGCCCAAGATCACTCAGCTAGTTTATGCCTGAGCCATTTACAGATAATCTGGCTATCTGGCCAGTGGCCATCTCATTTCTATTTAAGTGGTTCCACAAAGACTATTTTATGATTCATGATTTCTTGTGAAAATTTTTAATTTATTTTACTAATAAAAAGTTTTATTTTAAAAAAATTCCCTCTAATGATATTTTTTTAAAATACTTAGGCCCTAATATCTAGGTCTGGTTAAATAATAACCATAACCAAAATTTATGTGTTGTTTTCTTGTTTGCAAATTGTTTCAATACATATTACCTAAATTTTAACATGAGATTGCAATTTCTGCTTTTATACATCAATGATTTTTATTTATTTATTTATTTATTATTTTTTGAGACAGGTCTGTCTCTATCACTCAGGTTGGAGTTCATTGGTGCAATCACGGCTCACTGCAGCCTCCACCACCCAGGCCCAAGCTGATCCTCCCACTTCAGCTTCTCCAGTAGCTGGGCCTGTAGGCACACACCTCTACGTCCAGCTAATTTGATGGTATTTTTTGTAGAGGCAGTGTTTCACCATGTTGTCCAGGCTAGTCTCAAACTCCTGAGCTCAAGCTATCTGCCCACCTAGGCTTCTCAAAGTGCTGGGATTACAGCCATAAACCACTACACCTGGCCACGCTGCAATGATTTTTCAAAAAAACATACAGGTCACTCTCATTTTTCCTTTAACCTACTCACATATCCAGACTCCTCACCCTTTCCAAGATGGACTCCTTTGTCCATCTTTTGAAATATGGTTTCAGGGCTGGACATGGTGGCTCATGCCTGTAATCCCAGCACTTTGAAAGGCTGAGGAGGGAGGATGCTTGGGTTCAGGAGTTCAAGACCAACCTGAGCAACATAGGGAGACCCTATCTCTACAAAAAATTTAAAAAATTAACTGGACATGGTGACATGCACCTGTAGTTCCAGCTGCTTAGGAGGCTGAGGTGGGAGGATTGCTTGGGCCTGGGAGGTCCTGGCTGCAGTGAGCCGTGGTTGTACCACTGTACTCCAACCTAGGCAAGAGAGTAAGACCCTGTCTCAGAAAAATAAAATAAATAAAATATATTTTCAGATATAGGAACAATATTCCAAGGCAGTCTGAGCAGAATTGAAACAAAGTGAGAAGGACAGAGTGGGTTGATCAGATACAGACAAAACAGATAGAGGAAGTTTCTTGTAATGTCTGTAACAAATTACCACAAAGTGGCTGGTTTAAAACAACATAAACCTATTCTCTCACAATTCTGGAGAAATCTGAAATCAACGTGTCAGAAGAGTTGGTTTTTCTGGACGCTCTGAAGGAGAAATCATCTTGTATTTCTTCTCTAGTTTTTGGTGTTGTACGCAATTGTTAGAGTTCCTTGTTGTATATGCATTGTTCTAATCTTGCTTCCATCTCTAGACTACCTTTTTCTCTGTGCCTCTCTGTATCCTTTTTTTTTTTTTTTTTTTGTCTCTTATAAGGACACTCTCGTTGGACTTAGGGCCTACCTTAATCCAGTATTATCTCATCTTGATCCCTAACTAATTACATTGGCAATAACCCTTTTTCCAAGTACAATCATGTTCTGAGGTTCCAGGTGGACATTAATTGGAGGCAGACACTATTAAATCTACTAAAAGGAGGAAGAGACTTCGAGAATCCCATGTGTACTTGATGCCTATGATGATATCCAGACAGTGGGCAACTTAAAAATAGAAAAACTGATTATCTCATTTGAAATGGAGAAATGTTTTTGTGTTATGAAGACAAAAAAATAAAAAGAGAATAATTGGAGATATGTATTTATTTAGCAGAGTGATTTTTACCAGTAGAGCTGATACAATCCCAAACAAAGAAGGACTTAATTCACAACATGGCAAGTTTCAGTGAGGCTCCCAACATTCCACTGGAAAGTCACTAGATAATCACAGAGCATGGAGGTGGGCCAAAATGAAACAGAGGAAGTGTAATAACTGAACATATGGAAGCAATGTAGTGATTCTATTAAGAACTGACAGATAAAGGCCATGGGGATTGCAAATCCATCACCTAGTTTTCAGTGATATATAAAGAACAGAGACCTAAAACACTGTTCATTTATATGTGATGTTTTCGCCCTCATCTAAATTTCCTGAAGACCTTGGCTAATGGTACAGAATGTCAATGAGAATTGAATGTGTGATCTCAGAAAATTCAGTGAATTTAGGGACTGAAGAAGGGGAAAACTGATGCTCAAGGTACTAATTGATTAGGGTATCAAGCAGTTAAAAATATTCTGAACAGATCTTGCCAAGAGGATCCATTATAAATTGGGGTCCAGACAATACATAAAGGTGTATTGTCATTCTCAACTCTAAAGAATAAGGAAAACAGAAAGTAAATATTCTTACAGAGAATAGCAGAGCATTAAGATTCATTTGCATTTTAAGTCCATTTTA